AAAAAAGAAAAAAAGAAAGAAAACAGGGCCGGGCATGGTGGTGCACACCTTTAATCCCAGCACTTGGGAGGCAGAGGCAGGCAGATTTCTGTGAGTTCAAGGCCAGCCTGGTCTACACAGTGAGTTCCAGGACAGCTGGGGCTACAGGGAGACCCTGTCTCAAAAAGATCAAAAAAAGGAAACAAATAAAAACAGGCTGGTGAGCTAGCTCAGCAGGAAAGGGCACAGCCTGACAACCTGAGTTTGATTACCAGAACTTCCACTTGGTGGAAGGAGACAACCAATTCTTGTGAGTTGTCCTCTGACCTCCCCACATTCATACTGTGGCACACACATGCCTGCCACATAAAAAATAATCAGTTAAAAAAAACTCAACTAAAACAATCCAAATATCCACCAAGTTATGAAGATAAGTAAAATATGACGTATCTACGCAATTGGATATTTCTTAACAATAAACAGTATGCTAGATAAAGAAGTTAGTTACAAAAGGAAATAGATTGGAATTCCATTTATATAAAGTGTGCAGAACAGACAACTTAAGAGAGATAGAAAATAGACCAATGGTTTCTATGGACTGGAAGAGGCTTAAGGAGCAAGCAGGAAGGACCACTAATGGAGATGGAGAGTCTTTGGAAAGTGATAAATATGTTCTAAAATTGAATGTGGTGATAATTACACAGCTCTCTGACTACACTAAAGTCTATTGGATTGTTTGTTTGTTTGTTTATACAAGGATTTGCTATACCACCCAAAGCGGCCTTAAACACTCTATCTTCCTGCCTCAGTCTCCCAAGTGCTGAGCTTACAGGTATACACCACCATCTCCAGTCAATGTTTACATGAGAACATTTGGGTTTTGTTCAAGCTTTATCTATATATTACACAGTAATTAAAGGTACCAGGCTGGTGCAACTGACCTTCTTGGATGGTTAATAACCATACTTAAAAGCCTGCACACATCTGGTCAAAGGGGTTTAAAGGACAGTTTTGTTCCTTGCCCTTAAAGGTTGACTAAGTCCCAAGGGACCATGGGAATCCCTTGATATGCCCTGTAGCTGTGATGAGTCACCTGTCCTCTTGTTCAGGGAGGCCATAGAGACCCCATGAGAGGGACTCAAACCAGTGTCCAGTCTGCAAAGAGGAGGGTCAACACAGAGGAAACGTTTCGTCCATGCTTCCAAGTGACGCCCCGGTCAAGCAGGACCTCTTGACTTATCTTTACATAGATGGAACTGGTATTCTATGAAAAGCCTAAGGAGCCAGGGGCTCCTTCCAAACCCATGTGACCCCGAGGACCAGATCCTCAACCGACCTTAAAAGTAAAAGTAAATTGGTTAATTTGGGCCAAACTGTATGGTCTTAAACACTCAAAAGGAAAGTATAACCAAGGATTAAAGTAATCAATACATTTCTTTAAAGCCTGAGAAATTATTTGACTTAAAAGTTTATAAAAAATATTATTTAGAAAATTCTCGCTAAGATTTTCTTCCAGACTTGTACATTTTAAATGGTTGGATTGGATGATATTTTCATCATAGTTCAATAAAAATCCTATTTTTAAAATATTTTATTATTTTTATTTATGTATATGAATGTATTGCCTGCATGTGTGTAAATGCACTTGTGTCATGCAGTAGCAGTACCCATGGAGGTCAGAAGAAGGCATCAGATCCCCTGGAACTGGAGTTACAGACAGTTGTTAGCCACCATGTGGGTGCTGTGAATCGAACCTGGGTCCTGGGTCCTCTACAAGAACAGTTAATGATCTTAACCACTGAGCCAGCTCTCCAGCCCCAAGATCCTATGTTTAAAAAATGAGGGGCTGGGGGGCTGGAGAGATGGCTCAATGATTAAGAACACTGGCTGTTCTTGCAGAAGACCTGGGTTCAAATCCCAGCACCCACATGGCAGCTAACAACTGTCCATAACTCCAGTTCCAGGGGATTGACGGCCTCTTCTGTCCTCCGTGGGCATTGCACGACACAGGTGCACTTACCTACATGCAGGCAGTACACGCGTATGCATAAAACAAAAATAATAAATAAAATATTAAAAAAAGAAGGGCTAGAGAGATGGCTCAGTGGTTAAGAACACTAGCTGTTCTTGCAGAAGACCTGGGTTCAAATCCCAGCACCCACATGGCAGCTAACAACTGTCTGTAACTCCAGTCCCAGGGGATCCAACAGCCTCTTCTGACCTCTGCAGAATTGCATGACACGGTGCACTTACCTACATGCAGGCAATACACGCATACACATAAAATAAAAATTATAAATACAAAAAAATTTTTAAAAAGAATTATTGCCGGGCATGGCGGCACACGCCTTTAATCCCAGCACTTGGGAGGCATAGGCAGGCAGATCTCTGTGAGTTCAAGGCCAGCCTGATCTACATAGTGAGTTCCAGGACAGCTGGGGCTACAGGGAGACCCTGTCTCAAAAAGACCAAAAAAAAAAAAAAAGAATTATTAAAGCATACAACAAGACTGAGTCTCAAAATACATTGATCAAAATAAGAAAGATTTTGAAAAGAATACATCTTATATAATTCTATTTACATAAAAAGCTAGAAAATGCAGGCCACCTACAGTTTCAGAAGGCAGATCTGTGCTTGTAATGGTGGGGCAAGAAGACAGGTAAGTCAGTCTTGACCGCTGTCATGGGGTCATGGCCTTCCGCAAGTTAAAACTCAACAAGCTTTACAATTTAAATATGTGCAGTTGTACATCAATTATCCCTGTATAAAGCGTCAACCAAAAAAAAAAAAAAAGCATACTAAGAAGCCACATACAGGTATGATCACAAAATCTATTTCTACATGTAGATTTGCATATGCAAATGTCCAGGAGACTTTCCAGCTAGAGCCACAGGAAATTTAGAACACTGGTTACATGTGAGAAAGGAAGTGGGTTAGGGAGAACCTCCATGTCCTGAGTGTTGGGATTACAGGTGTATGCCATCATGCCGAATAGTACAGTGCTGGGGGTTAAACCCAGTGGCTTTCTGAACATTAGAATGCACTTCACTGACTGAGCCTCATCCCATACAATCTCAAAATAGTTAACTAAAAATTCAACAACAAAAAGCCAAAACTCAGTTTCAAAATAAAACAATGCCTATCGTTTCTTGTTTTGGGCTGGGGTTCAAGCACCAAACATTAAGTGCTCTACCATGAACTACATCCCTAGCCTTATAAAACCATTTAAAGAGATCCTTGAGCCTTCAGAGATATGGACTCTGAAAACTAGAAGGAACCTCAACAAGGCAGCATCACGTGGATGCTGTGAGTGCGGGGAAGAGACCGGGTGGAGGTAGAGGAAACCAGTCACTGGCTGGCACAGGCATACCAGCTCTGCACAGACTGAGGAGTCGTGTGGATCAAGGGTAGACAAATCGGTGTCACAGTGGACCATGACCACGCTTCTCCCTCACTGAGACTAAGCTGATGCCAGACCTCTCTAGGGCAATCTCCTGTCTGCACAACGAGCCTTGGTCAAGATGTCCTTTAAGTACAGATTTGCTGTATATTCTAGAATTCTGCTTGTTTCTTCATCTGGTCCCTCCCCTTTCCTCTAAATTTTGTATTTCTGGAAGCTCCTAATGAGAGTTGAGCCAAGACCTCTCCTACCCACCTGGAAAGCAATTACATCTATCATTTCTTCACAAGTTCTTTGGTTCTATTTTATTTTTAATTTAATTTTATGTGTGAGTGCTTTTGCATGCATGCATATAAGTGCACCATATGTATAAACTGCCCATGGAGTACAGAAGAGGGTGTCAGATCTCCTGGAACTGGAGTTACAAGATGGTTGTGAACTACTCCACCATGTGGGTGCTGGGAACTGAACCCAGACCCTCTGCAAAAGCAGCCAGTGTTCTTAATTGCTGAGCCATCTCTCCAATCTCTGATTTATTTTAAAGCTATTAACATTACTTTTGCATTCCTCTTTTTACTCCATAAGTTTTCCTGGGCCAATTCTGACTGAGGACTAACCTGCAAGTACAAATCCTTGGCCCTGAGCCACTTTCCTCCACCTTTCCTCACCAATTAAGGTCTCTAACTAGACTGTGTAATTGGGTCTTTGGGACGTCCTCCCTGAAGCACTCCGCAGTTCTAAACTGGGCACATTTCCACTCCTCAATCTAAGTTGCCGTGGGGACTGTGCAATCCCTTGGTACATGGAATACTTTGAATATTGCCATCTCCATTTGGCCCACCTGCTTCCTTGGAGGTTGTTGGCCAGGGTGGCACTGGGCACTGCCCAGGATGGGGAGTCTTCCTGCCCAGAGTAAATCATTGCTGATCTGTTCAGCTTTGAGCCCACCTGAATTTCCTAATTCTACCTACTTCAGAGAATCCTCCTGAATTTTCAGCCCTTGGAAGAATTCTGCCAAACTCTAAAAGCTCCACTTGATTCTACGAAGCTGCAACACTTCATGAATCCCACAAACACCCAGCCATGCGGCCACGATTTGGAAGGCTGGACTGGAGGGAAGCCCTGTCCTGCCTACCAGATTCTCTGGGCACAGGAGACCCAAGCTTGCTTCTTGGATCTGTGTCCCCCTAGATCCTGCCAAAGGATGCTCTGGTCTCACCCTCTGAAACATCTTCCCGAGAGCCAAGGACAGAGATCTGGAAGAGGCTAAAGGTAGGTATGGAATGGGAATGTGGAGATGGAACAGAGTCAAGGGCCCTGAGGAGTCACTGTGGCCTTAGCATTCCACTCTAATTCACTGTGCTACACTGGGCAAGCTCTTGCCCCTCTCTGGGACTCGGTTTCCTCTTATATAACAAGGGTTCGGTTGATGTGTAAGCACTGTCTCAGTTCTACAAGGATGTCATCTAGGCTAGGAACACCCCATAACTGACTAGTTACCTAGTCTGTTTAATCCTAGGGAGGCACAAGGAGACAGGAAGAAGTTAACTAAGCCCATGCCTTGGCCTTCAGAACCCAAGAGAGGAGGAGAAAGGAGATGACATCCTGTGAGCTGGCAGGAATGGGCAACAGGCAAGAAGTGAGAGAGGTGGGCATCACCCTGGAGGTACAACACAAGGTTGTGGAAGACCAAGGGAAGAGGGCTCAGTCCGGCCTGAAAGGTAAAGGACGGCCCCTGGGGCTGGGGAGAAGGGAAGGCAGAAAGGAGACTGTGGACTCTAGAGACAAAGTGAACTGGTCCCCACCTCTCTTCTCTGGCTGTAGGAGAGAAGGCAGAGCCAGAAAGAGTCATCTTTGGCACACAGGCTGGGAAGCAGACAGGACACACAGCTGGTTTTGTGACCTTGTCCCTGCTCCAGGGCTCCTTTGTACCTCCATCCTCAGAACCGTTCCTTCCCTGATAGTTCCTCAGCAGTTTGTGTGAACTTTCTCTAGAAATTAAGCCATCCTGCCTAGCCCAGTAAAGCACCCTGGCCATAGGTCGAGTCTGCCCAGTCCTGGTGTGTGTGTGTGTGTGTGTGTGTGTGTGTGTGTGTGTGTACCTCCTAAAGAGCCACTGTGGGACCTCAGTTTTCCCATGTACCACAAGAGATCCCATAAGTCAACCTGTCAGGGCATGTGTCATGTGATAACTTTGGAGTTTATGAAGTCAATGCAACCCTGGCTCTGGCCTGGAGAAATAAGACTGGGGGCTAGGTCTCAAGGTTCCCAACTTTTAGTTTAAAAAGCTCACAGTGGAAACAGATTCTAAAGCTTCGAGTCACACAAAGCTGCTGACAGAGCAGCTGTGTGGGAGAGAGAGGGAGGTGACCGCTTACCGGCTTAGAAGCCAGAAGCAGCCTCTGTGACCCAAAGCATGGAATATGCTGTGTGCATGGAGATGAGAGCTGGCCTAAAGAGACAAACCAGACTGCTGCAACCAAGGGATAAAGAAAGTCATTCCAGACAGTGGGAACAGCGTAAACAATGGCTCAGAGGCTGCCTCAAAGCCAGGAGGACCCTCAGAGGCACTCTATCCCAAGGGCTCTTCAAGTGTGGTGCCCAGGCCAGTAACAGCAGAATCACCAAGACCCACTGGGAAAGTCCAGGAGGGGAACAAGCCATGTCTTGACCCCCTTCTGATTCTGGTGCATCTTCAGAGGATCTCTACTGAAGTCTGGGGATGTCTGATCCAGCTCATTGGTTTCCAGCTCATACATTCCTAAACTATGTTCATAGTTCCCCCTTCTGCAGTGGGTTAAGGGGTGTTCTGTGAAAGGGAATCTAGGGTCAGGTATTTGGGGGAGCATATGATCTTTTGGAGAGTCACAAATCACTTATTTATTTATTTTTTGTTAATTTTTAGATAGGGTCTCCTTGTAGCTCCAGCTGGCCTGGAACTCGCTATGTAAACCAGGCTAGCCTGGGATTTAAGACCTTGCACCTGGCCCCACATTAGCATTTTAAAGGCTCTGACAAGTCCTGCAGCCAAGATCTTTACTTTTGCTTGCTCAGCACAGGCTCCTAGTGATCGTGCAGATTGCCTGTCTATACTTCCATTACCACTCTCTTAGGGAAACACCACTCTAACTCAATCCTCATTTTTCACATGAATAAACAGAGACCTACAGAGGGTAAGGAGATTGTCCCAAAGTCACAGAGAATATGTCCCAGCTGGAAAAGACCCTAAGACCCTTGTAGCCCCACCACCCTGTGCCCTTTCTCCTTCTTCCCTAGCTGAATGTCAGTCACAGTGTGGAGCCCGGCAACAGGACAGACATCTCTGAGTTCCTCCTGAGGGATTTTCTGGCTACCCAGTCCTGCAGCACCTGCTGTTCCCTCTGTGCTCAGCTATGTACCTGGTGACCCTGCTGGGGAATGCAGCCATCGTGGCGGTGAGCATGCTGGATGCCCGCCTGCACACACCCATGTACTTCTTTCTGGGCAACCTCTCCATTCTAGACATCTGCTACACATCCACCTTCGTGCCTCTAATGCTGGTCCACCTCCTGTCATCCCAGAAGACCATCTCCTTTATTGGATGTGCCATCCAGATGTGTCTGAGCCTGTCCACAGGCTCCACAGAGTGCCTGCTGCTAGCCATCATGGCCTATGACCGCTACCTGGCCATTTGCCAGCCACTCAGGTGCCCTGTGCTCATGAGCCACAGGCTCTGTCTGCTGCTGGCGGGAGCCGCATGGGTGCTGTGCCTCCTCAAGTCAGTGACAGAGACAATCATCGCTATAAGGCTCCCCTTCTGCGGTCACCATGTGGTCAGACATTTCACCTGTGAGATCCTGGCTGTGCTGAAGTTGGCTTGTGGTGACACACCAGTCAGTGAGGCCTTCCTGCTGGTGGGTGCCATCCTCCTACCGCCTGTACCCCTGACCTTCATCTGCCTGTCCTACACATTAATCCTGGCCACCATCTTGAGGGTGTCCTCAGCCAATGGGCGCTGAAAAGCCTTCTCTACCTGCTCAGCACACCTGGCTGTGGTACTGCTTTTCTATAGCACCATCATCTTCATGTACATGAAACCAAAGAGCAAGGAGGCCCGCATCTCTGACCAGGTCTTCTCGGTCCTTTATGCTGTGGTCACACCTATGTTGAATCCCATCATCTATAGCCTGAGGAACAAGGAGGTGGAGGCTGCCAGGAAAGTTTGGGGCACAGGTCTTAGCTAACATGTGAGGCCATCATATGCCAATGCCACTGTGGGGCAGGGAATAGAGTTATAGGAACCTGCACTCCAGAAACACAGTACCAAGTCCCAGTAATCCTGACACAGAATCTCTCACATGTAATCCTCTGCTCCTGCCCTGCTCTGACCCAGGCTCAGCATCCATCCCTGGGCCTCCATAGCAGCTTCTGGGCATGGTGGCTTGTGAGACTGCGGCAGGAGGATGGTTTGGTATCAGCCTGTGCTGCATATAGACAAATAAACAGTCTTTAGTCTCACCCTTCCTTTTCCATCTGGTCTTCCTTTCAGCCTTGCAGATGGACTTCCTGGCCTTCAGGTTCACTCCCACTTTGTTCTTCTCTCTGTGTCCCTCCTGTGTCTCCAGTGCTACACCAAGAACAGGGAACACCAGATCCCACACTGTCCCAACATCCAGCTCGGCCCAAGTTCAGGCTCTGCACACGTTTATGAAGTACACACATGAGAATTTAGGGGGACAAAATGGGCTCCATCCAAAATCTGGCAGAGTTGGGATGAAGTCCACAGATGGCAGGCAAGGCCTACTCCTCTGGGAGATAACAGTGGGGGCAGAAGGTGCCCAGAGTCCAAGATCCCAGACCGGCATGGCCATGGGACACCAGCCACTCAGAGCAGCCCTGAGTCTGACGCGCCCCTCCATCTTCCCCACTAGAGGCTACAGCAACTGTAGCTTCCAGTGCCCCTGCCAAGTATCTTGGCTTCATCTGGCTTTGCCTCTCCCTGCCCTGCCCCTGGGACCTTGCCATAGCTCTCTGCTGGCTGCTCAGCCTCCTCACCATTTCCCTTTTTGAGATCTCATGAGCATGCCATGGCGACTACAGAGAGCACTTCCCGTCCATAGTGACCTGGGCTTGGTCTCCAAGCAGCAGTCCAGCCATCTGCCTGCTGCCTGCGGACCTCCACTGCCCACAGGAGCCCTCAGTTCCCCTCCCAGCCCACCTTCTTCCTCTATGCTTCTCAGTGAGACAGGATAGAAAGACCTGGAAAACTAAGGGGAAATGACAAGGGAAAGCAGCCCCTCCCCCAGATCTAGTTTGCATTTCCTGCCAGCTAAGAGTTAGGAAACTTTAACTCAACTGGTAAAGCCCAGATTGCCTAAAGACACCTCAGACAAGATGTTCAAAAACAGCCACTGAGCTCTGTCTACTCAGGACCAGGATGTTTCTGAACTTGGGTTTAACTGTGTTAGCATTCTAGACTCATCTCTAAATCAAAATAATATACCCCATAAAACCACTTTACAATTTCATTTACAGAAGGAAATTCTTCAAGATGAGAACTAGTAAACCAGCTCATACATTTTTACTTCACTTTTAAATTTTGCTTGATCTTTAAGTCTTATAAATTATGTGTAAAGACACCTAAGCACAATTCTTTCTCTCTCAAGAACCCAGTACCCACATTTGGGTGTGCACTGTCCTTTTTCTATGTGTCTGACTCTTCCTAAAATTCTTTACTTAAAAAAAGCATTTTTATGTACATGTTTGTCTGCATATATATGTGTGTGTGTGTGTGTGTGTGTGTGTGTGTGTGTGTGCCATGTGCATGCAGTATCCATGGAAGACAGAAGAGGGTGTCAGATCCCCTAGAACTGGAGTTACAGACAGCTGTGAGCTACCATGTGGGTGCTGGGAACTGAACCCAGGTCCTCGATAAAAGCAGCAATGTTCTTAACTACTGAGCCATCTCTCCAGCCCTGGAAGTTCTCTCCAGCCCTGGAAGTTCTCTCCTGTGGTGTAATCAAGAATCTGGTTTCACCTGAGTGGAGGCCTCTAAGCAAGGGAATTCCTCAGGCCACTGGCTGCAGTGCTAGGTTGTATCTCCCCACTGCAGCTGACAGGAATAGAGGCCCAAGGGGAAGCCATTGCTGTTCTTGGATGTTCTCTGACCATGCTTAAGGGAGGCTGGCAGAGGCCTTGGGTACCCAACAGGGGTGTGGACGTTACCTTGGGACACCAGGGGTTACAGTCTGGTTTCCTTTTGGAGTCACTGAATGGATACCATCTTCCTCCACATGCTTGGTGTGCTTTTCCTGCTATCATGCCTAAGCTAAATAATGATCAGGAGATGTTAATAAATGAATATGAACTTCTATACAGTAAGAGAAACAAGAACCAGGGACCTTAAAAACTTCCAGAACTTTTGGCCCTATTGCCATCTCCAGGGATCTAGCTTAAGGAAAAGAAACTAAAAGCACAAACAGGGCATGATGGTACATGCCTCCTAGCACCTGAGAGGTAGAGGTAGAAGTATCAGGAGTTCAAGACCAACCTCAGCTACATAAGGGAGTTCAAGACCAGCCTGGGCTCAAAAAAAAAAAAAAAATTAAGGGCACAAAGATTTATATATGAGAATATTAATTACAGCACTGTCTATAGTAATCTATAGTAACAAGAATATATGAATCTTAATGTCATTGTAAAAGAATGTTAAAAATTAAATCCTAGTGGAGTCTAATGATAGAATGTGATACAGACAACTGGCAACCATATTTTTGAAGACTTTGATGATGAGAAATGATCACCATGTAATTAGCAGAAGAAAAAAAACCAGAACACAAAATCTTACACCCAGTACTTCTCTAATTTTATTTTTTAAGTATTGTTCTCATGGCTAAACTAATATCTGTAGGAAAATAATAACAGGTGCTTCCTGTCTGGGTGATGGAGTTTTATTAGTCTTTTCAATGTTGTTCAATATCTATAAAATGAACATGACCTTGTGCCTAAAAAATAATGTTCATTTTAATGATGGGAGATGCCCTTGCTCCAGAGTGGAGGACAGACAAGAAGGACTCCATCTTGGGGCAGAACTGAGGAAGGTGGTACTGCAGCCAAAGCCACTGAGCAGAGAAGGAGAGAGGGTGGAATGCTGGGGGGAATACTGATGTGTGCAGAAAATGATACTTGGAAGGAGATATGCAGGGATAATATATTGTTTCCTTATACTCACTGGGATTGCAAAAGTGGGTGATGAGGAGGGTGGACTAATGCTGGGGTTTGGGGATTGTTTGGGTGGCCACTGTGGCAGGGAGAACAAGTGCAGCAAGTGGAGACGGAGAGAAGGTGCCAGGCTGGTCTCAGCCCATTGAGTTCAGGTGCCCTCCAGGCAGCAAACAGAGAAAATAAGAGTTAAAAATCTTCTTTCTACTTTGAGCTGTGTTCTTGATAAAATTCCAGAAGATATATCATAGTATAGTATGGCAATTTATAATTTCTACTGTCTTATTTAGGGCTGTATTTTATTATTTCAACTTGTTACTCATTATCGTAAAGGGACAGGAAAGGAAGGGCAAAGGGAAAAGCCTGTAAAAACTCATGTGCCCAAGTTGAGCCTTGACTTTAAAATGCCCCTCAACATGCACCTGGGGTCTCACTCCACCCCCCAGTAATTAGCTTTCTTTTAAAGTTGGGTAGATGGATCCAAGCCCTCCCAGCAAATATGGAAGGAGACAACCCATCTCCAAGCCCAGAAGCCCAGGCCTAGTAAAGGAGAGTCCTGACCCTGTGGCATGCAAGTGGCAGGGCTGCAAAAAGGCCCAGCCTTCACCTTCTCTGTCCAGCACCTCTCGTGTGCCCACCCCACATCACCAGGGACCTCCTAGGGCAGAAGAACCTGGAGTCCCTGGAGCCCAGGTCCCTAGGCCGCCAAACCTGCAACTATGTGAGGCTGTAGAGTTTGAACTTTAAATTGGGCAGGGACTTGTGTGATCCCTGAAAAGGGAGCAAGTGGGTTGTGTGGCAGGGGACCAGACCTCTAGTCCATGGGGCCCCTCAGTCTGGCCGACCCTAGCAGAGTGCACCTGCTGGTAGTGAACTCAGGACTTCCCTACTAGCTCCCTCAAGCCTCAAGTCAGCTAGCCTGGCTCTAGATCCCTACATATTATTATGCCACAGGGCCAGTAAGCAGATGGTAAGGATCATTCACCTGGCATGTATTCTCATGAAACTTTGAAAACATTTAAAAGCTAAAATATTAGCCAGGCACAGTGGCACATGCCTTTACTCCCAGCACACACGCCTGCAGAGGCAGGCAGATCTCTCTGAGTTCAAGGCCAGCCTGGTCTACATAGCGAGTTCCAGGCCAGCTGGAGCTACAGGGAGACCCTGTCTCAAAAAGACCAAAAAAAAGTTAAAATTTTATTAACTGACAATTAATAATAATGGCCACAGTCGCTGAATATTTACCATGTGCTGGGCTGGATACTAATCACTGAATATTTACCCTAGCTGGACTGGATACTAATTGCTGAATATTTACCATTTCTGGGCTGGACGCTAACAGCTTTACTTTACCTCACTGCATTCTTAAAAATAACTCTAGAGGAAACACTGCCATCTCCTATTATAGGTAAGGAGACTGAGAATCAAAAAAATGTTAGCAAGTAGAACTTGGCGATACACACTTGCAATCCCAGGACTTGGGAGGCTGAGGCAGGATGATCACCATGAGTTCCAGACCAGCCCATGACCCTATCTCAAACAAACAAACAAGAGGCAGTGTTGGGGGAACCTGTTAGCAAGCAGCTGGGCTGGATGTGGACTCTGGTCAGCCTGACTCCAAAGCCCACCTTCAGCTCCTGTCACACAGGAAGGAACTGGAGTTACAAGAATCCCAGATCCGCGTAGCCCAAGCTGGCTTCAAACCTGCGGTCCTCTTGAATCAGCCTGTGAGTGGTGCTGGGATTATAGGCATGCACTACCATGCCTGGATTTAGAACTGATTTTGAGTGTGCTGTGATACTCTACCATGCCCAAATGAAGCAGGGCTGCTCAGTAACATTTCTGGCGTACTCCTTCTGAGGAACTACACAGACCCAGTGGTTTGTAGGTAGATGTGAAACCTGTTACTTCTTGGTCTGAGCATTTAACTGCTGAAGTGCTAAGATACTCCATTGTGTCCTTCCCCAGTCATAACAGGTGATGTCCCAAATAGGAGAGGTCCCCATCAGTCAGTGTCTCTAAG